TCTCCACAAAAAGAAAATAAACATTTTTTTTAATTTGCAAAAAACACATGGGTTCATAAAGGAAAACAATCATATTCACATATAATTATCAAAATATTAAAATGTTTATGGTGTAGTAACTGATTTTTATCAATGCATTAAAGATTTAACAGTAAGTCTAATAGCAATTATAATTACAAAGTGTGCTGAATGCAAACAATATTTAGATGTATCTTCAACACTTGTAATGTAAAATGAAAATATCTGTTATTTCTATCAGTAAGAACATTGCAGTTACTGCCAGTACCAGTGATCTGTTGCCTACATTCATAATTAAAGGAGATGCTAAATTTCTGTTAAAGGTTAGTGAAAATACAGATGTAATTTTGGCTGGGCATGCTGACTCATGCATGTAATCTCAGCACTTTGGGAGGCTGAGGTGGGAGGATCACTTGAGGCCAGGAGTTTGAGACCAGCCTGGGCAACATGGCAAGATCCTGTCTCTACAAAAAATTTAAAAAATTTGCTAGGTATGGTGGCACACTCCGGTAGTTACAGCTGTGAAGGAGGCTGAGGCGGGTGGACTGCTTGAGCCCAGGAGTTCAAGGATGCAGTGAACTATGATTGTGTCACTGCACTCCAGCCTGGGCAACAGAGGGACACCTGCCTCAAAAATAAATAAATAAGTAATTTTTTTCCCTTCCAAGTTCACAAATTCCCTGAATTCTATGATCTGTAGGCCCAGGTTTAGAAGCTCTGCTTCTCTAAGCCTCAGATTTATCATCAGTCCTTAGTGTTTGACACATTCCTAACTTATTCACTCACACTTACAGGCAACTGTTTCACACTATGTTCACACCTCAACCCCAATCACTCCTCCCTCATCCTCTCTCTCAGTTGCTTCCTACTTCACTGAGAAAAATGGAAGCAATCAGAAAAAAATTTTCAGACTCCCACCACATCTGCCTAACCTCTACCCTTGCACCCACCTTCTCTGCTTGTGGCCCGTTACCATAAACAAACTGCCCACACTCCTACCTAAAGCCAATCATGAATAGATCTCATGACCTCAAACCTATTCAAGGGCACTACTGCAGTAAATCTCCTACACCATCAAAATTTTGGAGATGTTCTAAAAATTATTTCCGTCAACATAGAACATGCTATTTCTTCCATCTTAAAACTTTTTCTTGAATCTATTTCCCCTACCATGACTCCTATCTCTCTGTCCCCATATTGAGCAAAACTCAGGTTTTTGTTTTTTTAGATAGAGGTATTCTCTCACGGCCCTTAAGCGGAGGAGTGGAGTGGCGTGATCTCGGCTCACTGCAACATTCGCCTCTGGGGCTCAAGCGGATTCTCCTGCCTCCACGCCTCCCAAGTATCTGGCGGGACTACAGGTGTGCACACCACACCGTGGTTTAATTTTTTTGGAGTTTTAGTGGAGATTGGGGTTTCACAGTTGCCACTGGGGTGGTCTCGAACTCCTAAAGCTCAGGGTGATCACCTGTCTGCGGTACTCTCCGCCAAGTTGGCGGTTGGGATGTACAGGCATGGAGGGCCACCGGCGGCCCAGCCTCTTTTTTTTTTTTTGAGATTGGGGAGAAGTCTTCACTCCGCCTAGCTGGGAGTGGAGAGTGGTGTTGATCTCGGCTATCACGTGCAACATTCATCTCTGGGCTCAAGCAATTTCTCCTGACCTCAGGATCCCTCCCAAAGTAAGCTGGGGACACAGTGCTGTGCCACCATACCCTGTTATTTTTTTACGGTTAAGATTTGAGTAGAGGATGGGGTGTTCACGGAGTGTTCGCCCTGGGAGGGTCTCAGAGACTCCTGAGGCTCGGGTGGGGGGTGAATCCATTCTGGCCTCGGCCTCCTAAACTGCTGGGCCATTACCATGGGCATGAGCCACCGCACTCAGCCCTCTTTTTTTTTTTTTTTTTTTTTGAGATGGAGATTCCTGCTTGTCTCCACTCAGGCTGGAGTGCAACGAGACATGACTCCTTGGCGTACAGCCTGCAGCTTCTGGCCTTCTGGGTTCAAGTGATTTCTCTGTCTCGAGCCTCCCAAGCAGCTGGGGACTACAAGCGTGTTTGCCACCACACCCCGGTTATTTTGTATTTTTAGTACAGACAGGGTTTCACCATGTTGGCCAGGCTGGTCTCAAACTCCTGACCTCAGATGATCCACCCGCCTCAGCCTCCCAAAGTGCCGGGATTACAGGCACGAGCTGGTGTGCCCGGCCTTTTTTTTTTTTTTCTCTTTTTGAGACAGGGTCTCTCTCTGTCGCTCAGGCTGAAGTGCAGTGACAAAAACATGGCCTGAACGTGGATTCAAGCGATCCTCCTGCTTCAGCCTCCTGAGTAGCTGGGACTACAGGCATGCACTGCTATGCCTAGCTAAGAGACCAGCTTTATCCATTACCACAACTGTTTATCAAATTAGTGATATTGTCACAGTAGAAACAGGAGATAGCACAGCTTTTAAAGATCCAACTTATGAAGTAACAATTTACATACCAATTTTATGGTGTATTGGCCGGGTATTTTTGTTTATGTGACTCTATCTGCCTTCTTATATTCTTCTAGTATCTTGGGGACGGTCTAGGCGGAGCGGATCACTGTTTTTGATGGTTTTCAGGATTAATCGTTGACTCTTCTTTTATGCTGATATCACG